CAAGTGTAACTTTAATCCATCCTATTTTATCCTTTTCTATCTTAACAAAAATTTTTGGACCTAAAAAGTGGCAGAAGTGGATCAAAAATAATATTTGAAGCCTAATTTTTAGAATTCCATCCCAATGACAAAAGACTGTACTTTTGATTTAAAAGTCAATTAGTATAATGTCTTAGTGTTGGTCAGTCCTCTCCAAGTTGGTCTCTCCTCTATGTTTTCTCCATAACCTCAATGATTAATTTTTTTTGAATTTCTGAAAATTGATATATAATGCATTCTCTGGTCATTAATTGTATGTGTTTCAACAAGAAAATTCTGCCATCTAATACTAGTTAGTATATATATATACACATTAAGGAATAAAATACAGTATTTTACAATTCAACTAGAAAGTGGTACACTTTCTAGTATCAAGCAATACCCCAAAATGGGTATTTAGGTTATAATGGTGTATATTTATATGCCCCATTTCAATATCTCAATACTTTATTCAAGTATATTTCACAATAAAAATGGTGTATATTTATATGCCCCATTTCAATATCTCAATACTTTATTCAAGTATATTTCACAATAAAAATTTGATTTTGTGTAATTTTCTTTATACTGGGTGATTCATGAAAACTTTCTGATTTGAAAGCTCAATAAAGAAAAAACTAGTGTAGATATCTTTACAATATAAATTTTATTGGAAAAGACATTACTTGAATTTTTACAACACTTTGTTTTAAAAATGATATTGGACGATTGATGGCCCCAAGATCAATGCATTGAGTTAGTCAATTTTTGATGTTCCATTCAACTCGCTGAAGCATATTGATAGGTATTTTGGCAATGGCTTGGTATATGCTGTTCTTTAAATGAGGTAGGGTGCTTTGACAGTCATTGTTAACAATTGATTCCAAATAACCCCAATGAAAATATTTCACATAGCCAAATCAGGGGATTGGACCAGGCATAGACGGTCACCTCTCAAGGAGATGAGGTGCTCGGCAATATGTTGTCTCTGAAGATGTTGAGCAATGCAGAAACACCTCTATAACTCTCTACCTTTTCATGTGTGGCTCTCTTGCATTCACACTTCCACTTGCCCTAAATGTGTTCACACATGTACCTAACAATCTAATTTCCAATCTGGAACCCAACCTGAAGGACGAATACAAAACTCAGTATGGAATGCTCATTGAGTACAGATAACAGACCAGCCATTAGAAAAATACACTTAAACAGCAAATGCAAACTGCTCACTTGTCCAATGCTAGTGGCAACTGGCTAGAAGGGACACAAAACTTCATGACCTTGCCTTCACATTCAATACTCCCAGCCCTTTTCCTATAACATCTTGGCTGCTTGGTGTAAAATACACAGCAGGAAGTTTCCAGGAATCACCCTGTATTTTACTGGTAGCTAGGATGGGATAGGGTCAAAGAAAAGTAATTACAAATCTCACTTTATAAGAACATGAAAGAGGTGAAATTTGTCACAATGTCCTCAGTAAGTTAGGTAGACAAGCAATCAGAGTATATCTGAAAATGGTAAAAAAATCACACCACAATAAATTTTTCCTAATTTCACAAGTCAGAATAATGCATGCAAGATAATCTTCACCTCAAGTCATCTTCTGACGAAGAATCTGAATCTGAAGAGTCATGCTTGCCATGACGGCTGTCAGCTCCCTTGCTTGTCTGCACAAGGGGATTGGCTGTTGACCTCTTCTTAGGCCGCTTCACTACTTGAGTTGAGTCATCACTGCTGCTGCTCTCACTGTCTACAGATAGAATAAATTCATACAAAGCTAAGCAAATGAAATTTAATATAGTTGGAAAAATTCATGCTTGTCACATAGTTGCACATGAAAAGCTTCCATATGCTGTGTTGACTATAAAAAATAATTTGATGAACAAAAGTTTACTGATCTATACCTTAAAATTAGGCTCAACATTTTCAAACTGTACATTTTTACATAAACCTAATTCAATAATGAGCACCAGTTTCCCAAAGCCGATACTTGAGATTTAAATGATGCAATAAAATTCTAGCACATGCATCAACTTTAACCCAAAGCTACATCTATTCTAACCAGTTCAATCACCCATTCATGATATCACAATCAATACTTACAGCCTTTCCTAGGGCATCTCATGCCTCCAGCAGCAGCTGAACCTCCTCTGGATCGCTTTTTAAAAATGAATGGCACTTTAGACTCGGACATCTTTGAAGTAAAAGTTACAATAATGGTGGACTGGAACAATCTCTTTAAATTGTGTGAATCAGTCAATTAAGAAGAGTATTGAAAATTTCTGTTATGAGAAAGAATGCTAAGTAATATGGACAAGACCGAGCAGTTTCAAGATAAATTTTGTTGAGTTTAAAAAATTAAATTGAAGAGCAACTGGGATCTGGGAAATGTTTCCAAGTAGGGAAGAATTTTTTGCATAACACATAGAAAAAGTAGATATGATAGGATTTATGAGATATTTTCAAAATTAAATATGATTATGAATAAATTATTGTCAAAAACTTGCTAGTAAAAAATTTACTTGAAACATTAAAAATATTATCACTATACGGTAGTGCATGGTGGCGCAGAGAAACTTACATATTTGAAATGTATATATATTAACTAAAGTATTGAATATATAGAAATGAATTTTGTAATAGCATGATCAAGAACAGGTAAATTTTTCAATCTGTGTTTCAAAAATATAATGCAAATGAAGTCTGTTATTGTAAATACATTGTTTCAGTTGTGTCCGGAAATTGGTGTCCATTCTTCCAGCATCTCAATAAGAATGTTGGTGACAGCTTCACAAATGTTATTCTTGAGGTGGTCCAGGTTGTTATTTTTAGGTCTGTCATGTTACACAATAGACTTCAGATGTCCCCACAAGAAATAATCACAAGGCGCATGATCAGAGGACCTGGATGGCCAGTGAAGATTGCCCCTCAAAGAGATAAGGTGCTCAGGAAAGGCTTTGCTCAAGAAAACCATGGATACTCTAATGTATGCATTTGCACATCTTGCAAGAACCAAACATTGTCCAAGCCCAGCTCATTCAGTTTTTGGCAGGAAGAAATCCTATTAAATCACCACATAACACTGCAATTGACGTTACACTGTTGTCTTATTTTCTTCAATGAACCAGGGACAGATTATTCAAACTCAGGATATTGCACATCAAACAGTCAAACCTTGCCTGATTGTTGGGAGTGCAGAGGTCAAAGGTTAAGTTCTCCTGGGTTTTCAGTGCTGAATACCACATCTGCTCATTTCTAATACCACCCTTGTTCATAGCCCCAGAAAGCTAGAAGTGAGCCTCATTGCTGAAGAACACAAGCATGTCATCCAGCAACATGTCATCTGGCAAGTCAAGAAGGGCCTTGAAATTACTTAGCAGAATTTAAGATTTTCAAGTAGAACTGTCAGAAATTTAAAAGTTTATTTGACTGTGAATTTTGAGTTATTTTTCTTCATACCTGTTGATTGGTAACCAGTATAGGCTGAAAAATATGAGATGATGACTCATGGTGACTAGATGGTGAATAGGCCAATTATTTTGGATGCCATTTGGCTGTCTGTATTTAAAGCCAAACCTTTTTTATTCAATACGGTATTTTGATTTGAGTGATAGCTGTTAGTTTTTGTTATGGTTTTCAAGTTTAAATGTACGTTTGCTCTCAGGCTCATGGACTTTAATTGAATACTTTGATATATATTACTACCATAGTAAGAAGAGATTTATCCTTCACATTTATTGATATTACCTTCTTTGGAGTCCGCCTTTCCTTCTACTTCCATATTTTTCCCTATACCTCTCAAAATTATGAACATCTGGTTGCAACAAATTTTCAGATGGGATTAAAAGAATGCAATTAATTCAAGTGACAATGTGAAATACAAATTTAGGTTCTCCAAACTTGATACTAAATTCTAATTTTGCTACACCCTTAACCTTTTATTCCTTAAGAATAAGCATTTTTTCATTGGAGGCAACCATCTTTCTGGCTCATGGACAGGACTATTATTTAGCATCTACAGTTAATGTTTGTGGTGTCACATATAGTGGAAGAACAGAGAATTATTTTGACTCTTCCTCAAGTTCATTTTTACAACACTTCTCTTTAACTTCACTTCTTATTTGATTGTTAGTCTGCTACAAATCTTATAATCAATTTTTAAGGGGAGCATCTGTGTCAAAATTTATCTCAGCTATTTACAGACAGATCCCTCTGAAACTTGGTACACTTGTGTAAAATAGAAAAAAAAGCTTTTTGTTTGTGTAAATTTTTCGAAAAAAATGAAAGAAAACATGAAATTCTTAGAAAATGGCCAAAAAAGGGGTATATACTTCAAAAAATCTATCTCCCCCTGGGATTTTCAAGCTATAACATTGAGACATAAACCATTCTATGCGTAAAATCTTTACCTATAAAACATAGTTTTTTTTTATTTCCAATTTTTGTGAGTGTGGAGGCATTTTTTGTAAAGTTTTCAGAAATTTTTCAATTTTACCCCTTTCCAACCCCCCCTTTTTGCAGAATAAATACCAAACTGTAACGAAATTAGAAAAACGCCTACATAGTTTTGCAGATCTTTTATTTGCAAATCACATGATATATGTCTCATTGTTGTAGCTTCAAAACTGTAGGAGGAGATAGTTTGTCGGTGACAAAAAGACATTTCAGCAGAGCCCGAGAAAATTGCGCACGCCTCAAAATAGACATTCAAGGGTGCAAGGTTGCAAGACTGGAAGATACTGAAGCTCAATCTCTGTCAAGGATGGGGTGAATGACAGAATGAGCACCATCCCGCAAGACTGAAGGTGGGTAACTGAAGCACATTGTGTTTGGACTACCCATTCAAGTGTGCTACCAGGAATTTCTGCCTATCTTAAATGTGAAAGAACTCTACCACCCCTATCCCTTCCGGGATCCGTCATGAACGCATAAATCAATGTACAGAGATGATTTTGGTACCATTGGATAGGTCACAATGTCAGCTTTAAGGAGACTACAAACCAGAAAAGCCAAAATGCAAAAATTTTGGCCAGACACTCCCCTTAACCCTAATTGCCATGGGTTTGCAGGAAAATGCCCTTTATTTCTAATAACCTACATAAAAAAATTACCATGAATCTCACAGCCTTGTCTGTCAAGATAACTCTTCAAATGAGATCTATTTTTGGTGTTAGATCAATAATATTTTAGCTATTTTGATCTATAAATATTTGGTTGAACATTTAGCAAACTATGTATAAAATTTATCACCGAGTGAGCTGCTCTGAGCGTGCAATGGTGCAAGAGCTCCTGTCAAACACACAAGCATGATGTTAGTGTTCCATGAGCTGCATAGTTGCGAGGCAGGCATGGAAATTGGAATATATCTACTTGACAAGCCGTGACTGAATTTTTCGAGCTGTGGTTTTCTGGATTTGCCAACCTTTATTCCATTTTTTTGAGCCATGAATTCCAAATCTTGGTCATGAAAAGCCATTTGCAAGGTGCAAATTTATTTACAAAGTCCATGCACGTGTTACCCAAATCTCTAATGTCAAATGGCAACAATAACATTTGTCTTTGTAGTCAAATGGGGTAAGACAGGATCGCAGCCTTCATGGGGTAAGAAAGGACTGGCCCATGGCATGCATTCTAATTGCACTGAATTTAATTTGACAGAAGAATTATGTTAGAGCAATCATTTCATGTCATTTCACTGTTTGTTTCAACCCTGTTCTGCAAATAATGAATTTTTTGTTAATTTTTGAAGAAAACCTATGTAAAAAAGGGTCACAAAATAGTTAACCCTATTTGGGAAATAAGCTCTGTCTAATTACAAAAAAATTTTTGACCAGGTTTGTGGATGTAAGCTGGTAACCTCAAGTAACAAGCAACTTCTGAGACATACTAGGCATTCCTACCTGCTACCATCACTGCCTGACATCTATTCTAAAATGGGGTAAAAAAGGACCAGACATGGGGTAAGACGGGACCACTAAATGATCCTATTTTACCCACAAGTGGCCCTATCTTACCCCACATAAGTAATGTATAAAATGTTAATTAACTATGCCAGCTATATAATATCATCCATATTTTGCGCTCAAAAGACTAAATGGATCATATGGTCACGTTTAATGTTGGGGTCTTGTAAGACCAAGTGGACTACAATTTATACAATTTTAATGGACAATATATACATATACAATTTTCAATGTTCAATACTCATCTATACACTACTTAGTGACCGTAATCACTAGAAATTGTAAGAAAAAAATTTATGTGTTTCAAATAAATGCGGTTGTTAAAAAGTTAACAAAGTTTTCTCATGACAAAAACTCCAATGTAACGGATATCAGAATTGACTTCCTGCAACAAAAAACAGGAACAAGTGGTTGTTTAATCAAATAATGTGTTTCTAGATGGATAATTTTGAATACCGTAAAATGGGGTAACTTAGACAGGCGGGCTAACTTAGACCACTTTTTGTTTTTTCAACAAAAACCCCAAAAACTATTTGACATAGAAAAATTTTGTCAATGGGCATTAAAGGCCTAATACTGAGGCTACATAACAAAATAGAAAGATTTAAAAAGTTTGCATATCTAATAGGTTAAAAAATTAAAAATGTGACCCATGAAAAAAAGCTATTATTTAAAGGGTGNCACCAAAACCTGGAGTTATTTTACCAAAAATATAATTGATTTTACCACCCAGTCTAAGATACCCCAAGAGCTGGGGTAACAAAGACCATCACTTTTTTTTGATATTACATAAAGACTATGAGAGGCAGGAGCCAGCAATTTATGGTGAGTGAAGCTAGAGTATAGACCTGTATTTTGCACGTTTCCATTCAAGTTTAATTTAGCTAGTAAAAAAATTGCATCATTTATAAAAAAACTGGTCTAAGTTACCCCATTTTACGGTATCAGGTTTGTACTTTAATTAAAAACCTTGTAACATAAGAATCATCAGTTGGTCCTGTCTTACCCCAGCCTGGTCCCAGCTCACTTTTTTTAATCTGTACAGAAAACTGTTTTGTATGCAAAAAGTCTGAGTGGTAGCTTTGAAGCCCATTGAATAACTACACCTTGTGATAGGTTTAGGGTAAAGGATTTTTTAGTTATTCATGGTATAGATGCTTCATGCTTGTTAGTGATTTTGGTCCTGTCTTACCCCATCTGACTATACTGCAAGCTGAAAACATGTTAATGCAGTCTGACTGCTCTGACTCTTTTGACCACAAATATGCATTATCTTCAACAAAACTTTTAGGTTGACTTGTTTACATTACAATGATTAAATTTTGCAGGATATTTTGGCGGGATCGGTAAAGCAATACAGATTGCGGAAGTTGAAAATTTTATGAAATGACATGTTTGCGAAGTGCGAACCATGATTTTTTTTCAATCAAAC